AAAAAAAAAAAAAAAAAAAAAAAAAAAAAAATGGCAAGAAGTTACACGCGGTGTAAGGGCTAAAAGAAAAGACAAACGTTTCTGGGCTTCTCTGGTGGGAAGCATAGGACCAAACAAATGGTAGGCAACTCTTTTGTTCTCCTAAGTATAGCGGGTTGACGGGCAAGAGAACTTGCACCGTGCCCCCAGCGTGACTCAGTCTGTATGTAGCACGACTGTGCGCAAGGGGACGGAACCAGTCTTCCCTGCGCTGAGCTGGACCCAGTCCTGTCAAAGCTGCGAGCTATAAAGAAGATGCAATCAAAGCTAGATTCAGGAAGGCAAGAAAATGAATTGAGGGAGGGTGATGTTTTATAACCAGCTGAAGAGGGAGGACGTTCAGGGACACAAACAAAAGTGGCCCACTTCTATAAGCTTCATTTAATTTATATTTAGCCTTCCCCTTCTCAGTAATTGAATGCATTATTTATTTTGGCCAGCCACTGCTGCATGTGGCTTTCAGAACAACAATAATAAGCTTTTAAGGTTTAGGGCCACAGCATTTAGAGGCTTGGGTAAGGTCATCTGATAAATTTTTAAATATGGAGTGGACTCTGCATTCCCGCTCTCCAGCAGTAGCTTAAAGCAAGGGGCACATGGGTGAGAGCCCGGAGTCCTAACACTGTGCAGATGGACACAGTCTCTCGGTGTGGAGCACCGGCAGCATGGGAGAAAATGCTTCACACTGTCCTCGAACACGTCTTGGAACGGCAGATCTTGGATGACGAAGATTTATTTAGATGAGAAATTTTGGTTTTCTTTTCTTTCTTTATTTTTTTTGATAGCATGAAGCCTGGTAGGGACTTTAGCCATAAATTTGTTGGAGATCTACAATAGTCAAAGTTCTAGTTCTGGCTTTACAAAGTTGGAGAAGAAATTTTCAGACCACCACCCTGATCTCTGCAGCTCCTGATCTGTGGCTCATGAGGCAAGTGAAACAAAACTCGGGAGTCCTTCTTGTATCTACTATTGTTGAACTTCCTAAGAAGGAAGCAATTTGTAAGAAGATTTAAACTTTCTAACATCCAAGGGAGTACCTTCTAATTTTCATTTGGCACATCATCAGATTTTTGGTGGTGGCTCCTAGTTTTTGTCTTATTTTGTTCCTTGCCAACCCATCATCCTCAGCACAGCAAGGAGAAAGTTCCACATTTATCAACACACAATGAGCACAGGTGCCTGTCCAAGACAAGAAGCGAACAAACTGACAGTAAGAAAATGCCAACTTGGGGCAGATGTGATAATGACAATGAGGATGCCATGAAGTGGCCACCTCACCCACAGTGGTCTCCAAAGGGTGGTGGCTTGGGCTGAGGATGCAACTCAGTAGCAGAGCACTTGCCTAGCACGCCCAAGGCCCTGAGTTCCATCCCTAGCATCACAAACAAAAACAACAAATAGACAAACAATGCAAAATCCAAGAGCTGCAGCTTAACTCTCATCACTTGCCTTATAAAAATATTAATAATTTAACAGCAAATAACTGAAGGAAAGAGCATTCTAGAGAGAAGAAACATTAACTATGAAGGTTCTGGCTTGGGAAGCAGTTTAGTATGTTCAAACGACAGAAAAAACCCTTTCTGGCTAAAGTTTATTTATTTATTTATTTATTTATTCATTTTTTGGTACCAGGGATTGAACTCTGGTCCTTGTGCTTGCGAGGCAGGCCACTGAACTGCTGAGCTAAACCCCTGGCCCTTAAAGTTTATTTTGTGATGAAGACAGAAGACACTGGATCACGTGGGACTCAGGGACAAGATGTCTAATTCCCAAAGCTCTAGGAAGCTCCTAATGACCCCAGGGGTTAAGAGCAAAACCAGCGTGAAGAGATTCCCACAGAGCAGCCATGCCTGAAGACTCCGACAAAGGCTGGACCCTTGATTCAGCTCCCCAGGAGAATCAAGGTACAGATGGCCACCAGGCCCACCATGCCATGGGTGAAAAGAACAGCGGAGAGTGACTACTCTCCAACAGGCCCAGAAGACTCACGTAAGCCAAAGTCAGCAAATGGTAAAGCACCAGGCCCAGCCTATTCCATGAGGCTGGGTTGGGGACCACCACTGAGGACACCCATCCACCTCACTGTAAGCTACAGAAATCTCTCGGTTGTCGCTTACACTTCCAGCTGATTGCACAGCTGCTATCTAATGTTTGCTGTGGTGAAAGGCATGGCCACTCACTTGCCAGCAGATCTTCTCCAGACCAGCCTCCTGTCTACTCCCTGCCTCAGTTTCCTTATCTGGGCAAAGGGCACCAACCTCAGAACCAGCCTCAAGTGTTTGTTGGGAGGATGAAGCAAGACAATGTGTGGGGAAGGCTTGCCACACAACCACTGCAACCTAAATATCGTGCCAGGATCTCCTTTAACCTCTGTGGTGTGCCCTGCTGGATAGACACCTCGATGGCACCCTGCAGGGCTCTCCCTGAAGCCCTAGACACCCCACAGAGGGAGGTGACCAAGGCGTCCTGTAGCTAACACCTGGGACTCTTACCTGAGGGCATTCTCTGGGCTAAGGGGTAGGGCAGGGCAAAGTATCAAAAAAGTACAGGACGCTCATGTCTTACAAGCACTGCCCAGCGATGACAGATGGGAGAAGAGGTAAAGAACGGCCTTCCTGTCCCCTCAGATGAGGTCACACTGAGGTGGGTTCGCTATCACCTGTCGGGTGCCCACAGCACACACCCTGTGGCTTCTTTACATTCTCCCTCACACCTTCCCAGCTCTCTTCTGATGCTCCCTGAGGCTGCATCTCAGCTGAGTCAATCCACACCCGCTCTCAGGGGTGCCTCCTGTGCCTATGACAGGGTTCCTTCCACACAGCCAGATTCCACTGGGGTGTCTCCAAGGTTTCACGCACACAAACACCACCAAAAAGACCAACAGCCCCTACTGTGGCTGAGCAGCCCTAATTCACCTCATATTCAGCTGCCTGTGGCTAGCACCTCCAGGCTGCCTGACCCAACCTCAGATGGGCTTGCGCAGGGACTTACAGGAAGGTCCCTGTGCTTTGTAACCCATCTCTGTCTGCCTTTGTACACATAAGGGTTAGTGGTGTGCTTCCAAGAGAGAAAGAATGGAAGGACCCACAGGGGTTGCTGCAAAGAGCTCGAGCCTGGCTGACTCTGAGGACCCAGGCACATGCTATCAAGAGGCAGGGCTATAATGCTTATATGATGCTTAGGTCCCACTGTCATCACTGCAGCATGATTTCAGTTTAAAGACGCGGACACACACTGCTGTGATCCAATTCTGAGGAGTACGCTCAAGAGGCTAAACTCTCTTTTCAAACTCACGAGCATAATGTAACTAAGGAAAAAAGGGACTAAGCCTCCCAGTTATAGGCATAGCATATTAGACATACAAGTCTGTTATGATATCAGAGGAAATCCTTTTAAGATTATAATAGTGTATTAGAGAAAGTTAGAGGTGATTCAGCTGGCACAGAAAAACGCAAATCCATTTCTTGATCACCTTCTTAAAACACATACAGATAGAATGAATATCTTTTATCTGAAATGTCTGGGGCCAGAAGCATTGCAGAAAGATTTTTTGGAGACTGGAACATTTGCACACATGTAAGCTATCTTGAGGATGGGACCCAAATCTAAACACAAAATTCATTTGTGTCTCATATGCACTTTTATACATGTAGCCTACAGGTAATCTAACACATGAAACAGCTTCATATGGTGGAATTTTCCATTTGTGGCACCTTGTTTGCACTGAAAAAGTTTTAGATGTTGGGAATATTTTGTATTTTTGCATTAGAGATACTCAACTTGTATTAAAATTCAGCTTCTTTTGATCATTTCTTTTGGAAACAAGAAAACTGACCATCGATAGCAGAGGAAATTCATCTGAAAAGTCAATACTAAACCACCCTTACGACAACACACTTGTCCGAAAACCAAATAGCGCACGGGAGCTCACATCTCTAGAACATACCCGGACAAATGCAGCCGTCTTTCTGGAATGATTTCCTTTCATTACTTTCCTTGTTTCCATTGCCAGTCGGTTCACACTCTGCATTTGTTACAAAATAAAATGGAAAAGGTAATGAACGATGGTCGAACTATGTTAACGCCTTCCTTAGAAATTAGGACCTTAAACACACACATGCATGCACACACACGCACACACAACATCAAAGCAAATGGGACCGACACTGGTCAGCCTGAACTCTGAAATACCAAAGAGGTCCACAGGGGGAGAACAAGAGGCACTCCCTAAATCAGTCACCCCCACCAGTCAGCACTGCAGTTGAACATATGCTGGTTTAATGAACAGTCAGGGTTCACTTTTCTACTTCCAGATATCCCTTGTTCTAAGCTCAAGATCTCAAAGATCTCAAAACAAAGCTTCCAATCGAAGAGCACAGCATACAATTTAGCTGTGCAATACTAATGAGAACAGCAATAACAGGGGTCACATCATTCGGCTGGAACATACTCATCAACTTGTTTGACCCATATCCCCATGGGCTGGGTCCAGTTACTTATCCCTGTTTTGTAGGTAAAATCTCTACATCTAGATCTTAAGTGTGCTGAGGAACCTGCTAGAAGTAAAAATATATCTATGTAAAAAGACTGGTCTCAATTAAATAGATATGAAGCAATTAAAGAGACCAAGGGAAGCTTTCCACAGAGTGAAGTTGGGATGTATGGTTCCTAAACTGTGCGAACTTACTGGGGCACCACATTTTACACAGAAATAGACCGTGGGGTCCTGCAGATCGCTGCTGTGAGGCATCTCATGACTCAACACTGGACTGCATTCCATCCCTTGCAGCCGGTCATATATTTGAAAAACTGTTTAACAGCTACTATGACAAAAAGCAAGGACTGGGCAAAAGTGAATGAGGAAAAGCAGATCAACGAGAACAGAAAAGTGAAGAGTAACAATGTCTAATCTGATTCCAAGGTTGGAGAATTGTGCGCTGCCCCATTAAGGACTTAAGTAGGAATAATTACTTCATTAATACATAATTTTGGTTAGGAGTGAAATAAAAATATTATTTTTCTTTCCATTTATGTAATTACTTTTTTCAAATGGCTGCCAGATTGTTAGGCCATAAATACTAAAACTGCCTAAACTTAACGTCATAATAAACAGAACTGCTACTATTTCTTTTGACCTAGAGGACATTGAGTTACTGAGAGATGTCATTAACCCAGCAAGCTGGGAACCTCTGGCAAGGCAACAAGGAACTCCAGGCTACTACTTCTATAACAAAGCAGTGTAAATCACTTAACTCTTCGCTGTTGACAAGCAGAAATAACAATACGCAAATTCTGGAGAAGAGGTCAATAAAACCATGCAAAGATAAGCAAAGGCATAGATTTTATTAACTTTGGAGACACCACATTTCTGGCCCAGAAGACCAGTAGGAGCATGGAGCCAGAAGAATCCCTGATAAAAAAGAATGTATGGCATACAGATAACTGATACATACTTACTATTACTTTACTATTATGGACAAATGAATGAAAATCCTTACATGAATCAACTGCACAAGAACAGGCTCCAGATTGCAAAACATCGACCTGGACTCGACATAAAAACTGAGCTGTTGTTCAAAATCATGGCCAAAGGAAACCTCGGATCAAAAAGAAAGTCGCTATAAGAGACAATATTGTCTTTAGACGGAATACCTGCAAAATACACTAGCATATTCTAACTGGAAAGACTTTATGTTAGCTGGATATGCGGGTGCCTGCCTATAATTTCACCACTCAGGAGGCTGAAGCAGGAGGACTGCCACTGAGTTTGAGGCCAGCCCGCGCTACGTAGTGAGACCTTATCTCAGCTGCCCCCACCCAAACCCCAAAAGGCCTTGTGCTACTTCACCTGGTATACAACTGAAATACAGCAACTGCCATCTCAGCGTTATGACACGGGCCTTGAATGGGAATGCAAAATGCCAAAGGAATCTTAAAATATGAATAGGATTTTCCAGGCTCAGAGGAAAACCATGAAAAGGGAAATCATGGAATTCTTTTTTGGGTCAGCAGCAGCTTTTTCACAGAATATGAATTTGGTTCCTAGGAACTATTTGTCAGAGGGGTTTCCCTAACAAGGGCCACAATTTTCTGCTTCCTCATGGAGATTGGACCTCAGCAGCTCGCAAGTGGCTGCTGGAGCCACAGAAGGAAGTTCCACCACAAAACCTCTCCCCTTCTCCAATTTCTGTAAGTTTAGGAACAGCTGATTAGTAGGAAAAACTTAACTGCTGCATCAATCATTTTTTGCCCAGAAGTTTAACCTTGCTATTTCTATTATAGCTATCGGTTTTCACATCTTATTTCCTCATATTCTTTTCCTTTATAATTCAGTGACTTTCACATAAAGCCCTAAAACGATGAACACCACCTACTCTGTATACTGTTTAAAGTATGGACAAAAGAGAGTCACTTGGCAAAAATTCATGGTAATTTCCCATGTGGGAATTAAAAGGCTAATTCTGAATTTTATCCAAATTGATATTTGACCCAAAGAATCAGGTGGAGAGTTAAATCAGTGTTTGTTGCTGAACAAGTCACGCTTTCAGGTTTTTATTTGTTGTTTGTTACCAGAGAATTGAACCTAGGGCCTTGTGCATGTTAGGCAAGTAATGTCAATGAACTACATCCCCAGCCTTCCAAGGTTATTTCTGAAATGATGTCATTTTTATCTCAGTCTGGTTGGTGCTGATATTCCTATTAAAATATAAGATGCCAAGCTAAGAGTGACGGCATGAAGTTGTAGTCCCTGTTATTTGCAAGGCAGAAAGAAGGCTGAGGCAGAGGATCACTTCAGCCCAGGAGGGTGAGGCCAGCCTGGTCAACGGAGTTGAGACCGTCTCAAACAAAACAAAACTAAATAAAAATACCCCAAAACTGGTAGCAACGGATGTTTTAGCTTTGAGCACCAAGAATTAAGGCGAGGGTTGTTCAGGCTGGGATGGTTTACTGGGGGAATGTTTCTAAAGAAGGTTGCAATAATCCATTCCATGCTTTTTCATTTTTACTTTTGTGTTGAAACAGGGTCAGGCTGTCACTGAATTGCCCAGGGTGTGCCAGAACTTGTAATCCTCGCATCTCAGCCTGCTACAGTACGGGGATTGCAGGCATGAACCCCCCCCGCCCCGCCCCGTGGCTATGTTTGTCCTTTTGCAAAGCGTCTCTGGACTCTTTCTGGTAAGAGGGAGAGTCCCGCATCCTCCTCCCCTCCAGTGCTGGCCCTGTGACTTGCTTTGCCTAACAGAATGCAGGAGCAGGCAGCCGAGGTTCACTGTGTAACTTCTGGCTTTGGCTTTCCGAGGCCCTGCAGCCTCCACCTGCGTCCCCAGGAAGCCAGCACCATGTGGGACAGCTTGGCTGGGACTCCAAGTGATGAGAGTGGTGGACAGGAAGGGGCTTCACGGAGGAAACCCGAGCCGCTTGTGGCCAACACCACGTCTGGGAATCAGAGCGAGGCTGTCCTAGAGCCTCTGGCCCGATCTCACCACAGGAGTCCACACCTCCTTGAGCAGCTTGATTATTGCCCAGCCAGCCCACAGAACTAATAAGTCATTTAAAGCTACCTTATCTAGAGGTGAGCTGTTCCACAGCAGGGAGTAACGTGGATGGAGCTAGACTTAGACAGCTGGCATTTTACTGCCCAGTTACTTTTTAAAAAATTTTAAGATAAGAGTCTCAACCCAGGCTGATTTCAAACTATAATCCTTCTCCCTCTGCCTCCCAGAGTGCAGGATCATGGGCACACACCACCGCACCCAGCTGCCAGCACATTTTTTTGCCAGCCTCTGGCAGCAGCTTCAGGGAACTACGTCTCTCCACGCTCGGGCCTCATGATTTAGATCACCCAGGTGTGCAGAGGTCTCCGGGCCTGGCCAGCCACTGTCTGGGCCATGACCCGAGTTAATCCAAAGAGATCCCTCCCAGGACTTCTGCAGGCGCCCTGCTGATGGGCTGCTGGGCTTGGGAACAAGTCCGTCCAAGAGGGAAACCAGCAGAGCAGAGCAGGAGCCATCAGCGGACACAGGCATCGTGGGGCCCTGGGGTGCAGCTGTCCCTTTGGAGGTTCCATCCATGGATTTCTGTCACATGAGCAAATGAACCCCTTCCAACTCTTTTTATTTTCCCTAAAGTCAGTTTGTTTTGGCTCACTTTGTCCCCACAGGAGAACTGGCTAATGTAGTACATTTGCTAATTTCACCTTATCTCAGAAAATGAAGAGCACCAGGGAACATAACGTTAACTGCTTTCACCAGAATGGGGATAAACAATTACATCACATTTCCAAATGCACTGAAATGTCTACCCCCAAACTTACCATTTTAATAAATCCATTAATCAGATGAGCCAGTGTTCTTTTCTCATCCTCGAGAGTGAGTGCACTGAGATCAATAATTGTACATAATTAACATTGAGGTAACAAGTGAAAGCTTCTGAAGACAAAAACACGCAAGAGGGGAGCATTTTAACAAGTAATATTATTCATTTTTCTAGACCTCAAAAACTTCCAAAAGGCTGTGCATTTTCCCTCGGATAAAACGTAATTTAAATGTACTTCTTCTCTTTCTGAAGATATATTTACTAACAGAAAAAGAGAAGGCAACTTCTCCTTTGGAATTTGGGCAGCAAGTTCTAAATTTTGTAATTTAGAGAAATTTCAACACTGTATTATGAAAAATCCGGTCCACCCATCAAAGAGCCTTTCCAGTGAACACCCCCACCCCCACCATCGAGATCCGACCATTAGTACCTCACACTTGTGTTTCACCACACAACTATCCACTCCCCTCTCCACCCATCAGTCCATCTTATTTTTGGTTACATCTTAACAGCTGCTTCTAATTAACAGAAAATGTAACACAAATATAAATAAAATTATCAAGTCTTTACAGTTTAAAAAATATATATATAGGAAGGCCTATAAACAATTCTCCAATTTTATTTTTTAAAAATGTTAAGAGCTCAGGCTGGACGTGTGGTAGTAGCAGAGCACTCTCTTAGCATGCACAAGGTTGGGAGTTCCAACCCCAGCACAGGGCTGGCGGTGTAGCTCAGTGGCACCACACATGCCTGGCAAGCTCTAGGTCCTGAATTTGATCCCTTGTATGGGGGGAGAGGGGGACAAGACACAACCATTCCAGCACAGCAAAACAAAATGAAACAAATAATTTATGAACCCAGAGAAAACAGGAATGAAAGTTTCTGTTTGATTTTAGGAGACAGTAAGTTTTGGCAGAGTGCATGGTTCCCACAGTTCTTTGGGATAACACTGAGTCCTTCACAGCCATGTGGATGCAAGTGAGATGTGAGCCCTCCAAGTATTGTTCCTTTGAGAAAGCTGCTGTCCTCCAAGGAAACTGTCCATGCCATAGACTTGGGCAAGGGAGGCCAGCTACCATCAGGAATACAAAGATGGCATCGCCTGGGGCTAAGAGCAACAAGATGGAGGGCACCTGGTCCCCGGATGATGTGCCAAAGAAAAGCTACCTCCTGCGTGCTAAAAACAGTATCTTATAAATACAAGTGCCTTTCTGGGTATTTCTCCAGCCTTAATGTTTATTTTTGTCCAAAACGTTCTATTGGGTGTATTTTTTTATTTAAATGAATATGATATTCTCGTTATTTTGATTTTTATAACTACTCATGAATTTGAAAACAGAATCATGAAAGATTCTAAAATCAAGAAACTAAGAATATAATGCATCTTGATGGTAAGTTCCAGAACAGTTTTCTCAATTCTTGTAACATTTTTCATTAAATCAAGCGGCTGTGCTTACAAATTCTTTGGTGACTAAAATTTCAGCCACAAATATGCAGAAACTGTCATAAGCACAGCCAGATGGAAACGTGTAAAAAAACCTGAATAGTGGTAATTCAGCCTTTGACTGAAAAGTGAAGACTGTAGATAGATCTGAGCCTCAAATATACTGAGCAAATAAAGTCCTTCATGTAAGAAATGTAAGCAATTCCATCTGAATTTTAAATAATAGGCTAATATAAAATGAAAAGGCTTTATTAGTGGACCAGTGTTCTTATGCTATCTACTCTCAGAAATCTCCAGGACACATGGAACTTGAGTTTGCTTAAATGAAACCAGCACCCGCCCCCACTCCCCTGCAAAGAAATCCCTTTGTACAAACATCTGCTACCTCATTTCCTTAAGGTTCCCTCAGCCTGCTCTCCTGGACCAGAATGTCCTTGTTAGCAAGAATCTTAATAGGCCCAATAAAGCTACTCCCAGGAGCAGTTTACAGTAGTCACTCCCTAATGTGCAATTAGGCGGTACTTAAACATGCAAACCACACTGCATTTCAGCTTTAAGGGTGGCTTACTTCACGGAGTCATGCATGGTCTTGCAAATGTGCAAAAGGGCGTTCAGAATCACGGGGTCCTTGGTGGGCTCTTGCTGATGCCTAGAAGACATAAAAAGATAGAAGTAAAAGGTCCAGGCACGGAGAGGAATGAAAGACGGGATTATTCTCACCTCCTTCATGGATCCGAGATGCCCCAAATTATCTGGGTAGCCTCTCACAAGGCCCAGTTTGCAGTAAGTGGCAATGTTCTAGCTGTCCTCTTAATTCTTTAAATGACAAGTCTGCTCTTTTATTCATATGCTGTAACTTCTCTTAACACCAAAATCATGGAAAAGCTGCTACATTTCCTAAGCCAGGCAAAGGGTAAATGTGTCTTACACTGCTTTCTACCCCTCTGAAGCTTCTTCCAACTTGCTTGTAATGTGTTAAGTGCCACAAAATTAGTAACTTGGATTCTTTTTTTTTTTTTCTTTTTTTGGTACCGGGCATTGAACTCTGGTCCTTGTGCTTGTAAAGCAGGCAGTGGAACCACTGAGCTAAATCCCCGGCCCTGTGTAACTTGGATTCTTAATAATACAAATTGTCAAACTCTTATAAATAAATCTTTATGCAAGTCAGTGTATTTTTTCAGGCATTTTAATGATAAATTAGTCTTTAAGAAATTAATCTTTTAGAAAGGTAACAAGAAAAGCTTACAATATATCTGAGCAACAAATTTGATTTTTCCAATTTCAATTGTATCTATATTTAATATTTAAAGCAACTTTTAATTTTAATGTAACCGTGTTCTAAAAAATAATACATGAAATCATAGACTAAATAATCTAGCTATATATTGCCTAATACATTAAAAATCAATACAGTATGTAACTTTTAAGGTTACTTGCATTATTTTTTGTTATCCTACACGTATTACTACCTGAATTTATTATTTATGTTTTCTTTTGGTCTTTCTTTCTTAGAAGGCATTTTTTTTTCTCACGAGATACGGTCTTGCTATCTTGCCCAGACTGGCTTCAAACTCCTAGGCTCAAATGATCCTCCTGCCTCAGCTTCCTGAGTAGCTTGGACTATAGGTATGCGTCATTATATCCAGCAAGGGCAGGAGTTTTGATTATTTGTGGTATTTAACAGGCTCTCCATAAGTATTTAACAGGAATGTTGCACACAGCATTATGTAAAATTTAATGGGTATGTTGTACTGTGAATAAATAAGATTTTTTTTTTTTAGGTTTTTTGAGACAGGGTCTTGCTACGCAGTTTAGGCTGGCCTTGAACTCAAGGTGATCCTCCCGCCTCAGACTCCCAAGTGCTGGGATTACAGGCCTGTGCCACCACACCTGGTGAATAAATAAGATCTTAACCATACATAATACTTTTTTTTTTTTTGGTACCGGGGATTGAACTCAGGTCCCTGTGCTTGCAAGGCAGGCAGGCAGCAGAACCACTGAGCTAAATCACTGCCTACCCGCCCGCTTTTAAAGACAGGGTCTCACTATACAATGTAGGCTGGACTCAAACAAGTGGCCTACAAGTGGCCTACCCCAGCCTCCCCAGTACTGGGATTACAGCTTACACCACTACAACCAACTCATAATGTTCTACTTTTAAAACTTAGTATCTTTGATTAAAAAATAATTAAAAGTTAAAATGAAAACCTTTCCAGCACATACCACTTAAAAATTATTTCATGTACCACTTCTACAGAGCAATTCTGGGAAACACTGATTCAATAAAATGAAAGGAACTGAAATTGAAAACTGATCACAAATTAGTCAGCTACTACTAATTTAAATACCAAAGATGAAAACCTTCCTAGTGGTCATGCCTTCATAAGTACACTTTATTTTTATCCTTAAAGTTATTGTTCCCCATGCAGTTCATCCAAGCCTCCTCTTCCAAAAAGGATACCGCCAGCCAGACTCACGTTATTTCTTGTCAGTTTGCCTTCATAACCACTAATTAACAAACTTTTATCATGACGCCTCTTTTGAACGTGGTTCTCCTTCAAGGTATGAGGTTGGTACACATCACCCGGCCTCAATTTGCATGACCTAAAATCAGCACATTTCACAGGGGCCCTGGAGGTGAAGGCTTCCAGTGAAACTGAATCACACTCACTTGATAAAGGCTTCCATGATGTATTTGCAAACTTCCACTCGCACACTCTCTTTCTGGAACATATCCAGAAATGGCAGAAATTTTTCCTAAAAAATAAAGTATGAAGAAATCATGTATGGGTCACTTTTCCTTTAAGGGTCAAACAAATGGAAGAGGTGGTCAGAATTTCCCTGCAAGATTGTGTTGGAGTTTTAAAAAAACTATTGCATACTGAGTATCCCTAGTTAAAAAATATGAAATCTAGGGCCGGGGATTTAGCTCAGTGGCACCGTGACTGCCTCGCAAGGGCAAGGCTCTGAGTTCTATCCCCAGTACCAAAAACCCAAAAGTGAATCTAAAATGCTCCAAATCCAAAATATTTTGAATGTTAAGAAGTTGCCACAAATGAGAAACCCGAAACCATGGAATTTTGTCTCATGCACAAAATTACTGAAGTTATTATATAAAAGTATCTTTGGGCTATGTGCATTTGGTATATATGATATGCAAATGAAGTCTGTGTTCAGACTTGGATCCCCTCTTTTAAGACTTGGAATAATTACTTGTATGTGTAATTATTCCAAAATCCAAAATCAAATACTTTTGGTCCTACGCATTTCAGATAGGGAATATTCAACCTGTACCATTAAAATAACTTATGAGTGCCCCAGAGATTGGTGCTGGGACCTAGTTCACATTTTGGCGAACCAAATTTTGGGCAACCTTTAGACGGCCATAAGCTCTCTCAGGTAGTAACTGGCAGGCGAACTTCCATCTTTTCTGAATGGATGGACAAGCAGACCTTGCAATCCCATGAGTACATACAAATGGAACCCAGAAGAAGGAAGCTAAGAGAAGGGACAGGAGATGCTACCATATAGTCACTTAGATTCCTGCTTGCCTATGGCCCTGCAGCAAACGCAAAAGCATGTTGCAGGGGATTTTAAATTTAAGGGAAATGTAGTAAATCTTAACTCCATCAGACACTGAGACAACTACTAGTTCAATGCATTTCATAGTTTTGACAATAAAGTGCATGAAAAAAAAGCAAGTACGCAAGTTAAATATCCCTAATCTGAAAACATGGGATCTGAAATATGGACTTTGCGCTAGGAATGCTCAAGAGACAGTCTATGCAAATATTCCCAAATCTGGAAAAACTCAGGAATCTGAAACACTTCTGGACTTGAGCATTTTGGATAAAGGATGCTCAGACTTTGTCATGTGAAAATCAATACGGAAAAGGAAATGAGGAGGTTGACGGTGCTCAGCTTAATCACAAGGTTGGAAATGTTCTGTCTTGCCCAGCAGGTACACACATCTGGTTGCCGAGTAATCAACAAGAAAGAAATAATACTGTATTTTTTAATCTACTACTACACCTCCCTGAACATGCCCAATCTCAGAAGCTAAGTGGGAATGAGTGAGGGAAACAATACTTTTCTTCCAGTTTATGTGTGGTATTTTTCCAAATGCTGCTTAAGTTGTAGGATATAACTACTTGTTAATATGGTTAAACCTAAGTGTTTTATGGAAGGAACTGTTGAGTATTTTTCCTGGCCTGGATGCCTTTAAAACAGGATACAAATTTCCAATGATAACTAAGAAATGTTACTTACCACTGAAAAAAGAACTGAGAAGTCATGGAAGTGGGCAATAACTTTCTTAATTATTGACTGAAGCTGTAAGACAACAAAAAACATTTAATAAAACTTGGTTATTATTTTTTAAAATCTGTAATTACAATAGGCTACATCAAACTGCACAAGAATGAGGAATCAGGGAGTGAGGGTGGGGTCAGGCCTGTCTCGGTCTGAGTTTGCCCTTCTTACTCTGTATATCCTACTTTACAGTCTTGGGGGAACAACTCCGCCTCCTCAGCTGTGAAACAGAACACAGCAATGCCTGTGAGGATTCCAAAGGATGTTCGAGTGCTTAGCGCACGGCCAGCCCAGGAAACCTCTCCAGTAACCTGAGCTGTTGAGTTATTCAAGAGGTAGGCAAACATTTACTGTAAAGGGCCTATAGGCCATTACAACTACTCATCACTGATAAATGTAGCATGGAAATAGCCATGGCCAATGAACAAATGGGTAACTGTGTGCTAATAAAACTTTATTCACAAAAGCAGGTGATGATGGGTCATATTTGAAGATCCCTATTCTGCCCATTATGGCCCTGTGTTTCTTCACTTCTTCAGTAGAAAGGAACTGGATGGAGTTTGCCAATGGAGTGAAATGGACACCTGTAGATGGGGACACAGGTGTGAGATTTGCTTCAGAAATGCCCACGTGCTAATGTCTGCTCCCTCCACCTGAGGTGCACACAGTCCTGATCAGAAGGGTTTGGGCTGTGACAACCAAGGAGGTGCTGCGTCTAAGGAAAATTAACTCCCTGTCACTAAGTGCTAACTAGAAAATTCACTGATGAATATTTTGTTTATATTAAAAAACTGCTGAATGAATACTTGCAAAGGAAATCTCTCTCATTTTAAAAGTACAGAATATGAAGATTTATGAGCCTGCACCATAATTAAATAGATTGCTAAGTTACTCCGGCAAAAGCCTAAAATATGACTCAAAACTTCTAACGAATCTTGGTGTGGTTGGCACATGCCCTGCAGTCCCAGCTACTTGGGAGGCTGAGGTGGGAAGGATCACTTGAGCCCAGGAGTTTGAGACCAGCCAGGGCAATATAGTAAGATCCTGTTTCAAAATTAAAAAAAGAAAGAAAGAAAGAAAGAAAAGAATGAATAAGAAAAAACACCCCAAATTTCATGACAAGCAATATTCCAAGGAGCAGAGCATTATGATACCAGAATATTGTTGGGTTAAAAATTTCTGAAACACAAAGCAATAAACCCCTTTAAGCTAAAAACTTAAGATATGTAAGTTGAGTTACACATAAACTATGACTTAAAGGTTTTCTCCTTTCACATTTCATTATAAAAATGCTCGAAGAAAACTAAAGAATTAGACAAAGTCCATTTCGTTACCACTTATATTCTGCAAAAGCTAACCTTTTTTTACCTTTGCTGTGTCTCCTTCTCTACCCATCCTTCTAATAGGAGAATTTGTAAACACACAGTCCACACACATTTTTTTAACTTTTTATTTTGAAATAACTTTGCAAAAATGATGAAAGAACTATACAAACAATTCCAATATAGTCTTTACTCAAATTCACCAACTGTTAATATTTTTGCCAAATACACGCATTATGGCTTAGACACACTTCCAGCAAGGCCCATGTGTCACTGGGTTGGACTCATGTAGGTTTCTGCAGGTTGTTATGATTTCTGTCTAGATGTCCCCCCAAAGCCTCATGTGGTCATAAGTCAGACTTTTCAGAGATGGCTGGATCCAGAGTGCGTGATGCTGGGATTGATTCATGGTACAAAGCTAAGATTAAGGGTGCCCTACCTGGATGTGAGTGCGACTGCCCTTGCAGGCTAGATAGAATATAAGGGACGGAAATAGGGGTGGTGTTGCTTGCTGCTTCACTACTTTGACACTTGCTGCCTTCTGCCTGCCATGAACTGTTTCTCCTCTGTGATGCCCCTTTGCCATGTCACCTCTCTCGGAGCCTGCCAACTATGAACTGAAACCTACACAAACTGAGCTACAATAAATGCTTCCTCCTTCAACTTTGGGAATATCAAAGAGAAAAATAACTAAAACACAGGTGTAGCCACAAAGGAGACTGTGGGATCCCAGTCTGTTCTTTTTTTTTTTTCTTCCTGGCTCATGATGCAAGCAGCTTTACTCTGCCATGTGCTCACACCAAGATGTGCTACCTAGTCATAGCTCAAAGCAATGGTGCCAAAAGATCATGGACTGGAACTGCCAAAATAAACCTTTCCTCTTTGTAAGCTGATTGTCTCAAGTAGGTCATGAAAGTGACCAAACACTGACTAACATGGCACCTTATCATTCTCTCTGGGTAAGACACATTCTTTCTTCCTGACCCACGTGACAGTAGACTGCATGAATTGTAGCCCTTGTCCCTTAGCACTTCTTTTCCTAAGTATAATCACACTCTGACATTTCCATTCTGCTGTTATCAAATGCAGGAATGTCAACCCTGATATAATGAAAACACTTCAATCTATCATCTGTGGCTCAATCGTGTTAGCTGTCTCAGTAAGTCCTTCAGAGCATCATTATTCCTCTCTTCTGTGTAGGGCCCGGTCTGAGATCCTCTGTTACATTTCCTTTTCATGTCTCTAGTCGATGTTAATTTAGATCAGTTACCTGATTTGTCTTTGTCACTGATGGCAAAGATATTTTTGAAGAGTTACAGAACACTCCTCGAAGAGGGCATGTCTTACATTCCACCACGTCAGATTCAGCTGATGCATTCTCACTGAAATACTACATAGGCAATGCTGTGCCTTTTCCAAGGTACCACATCTGCAGGCCCATGATGGCCATTTGCTCCTCACTGGTGATGTGCATTAGCTGGTCAAGGACTATTGCACAGTCAGTTTTTTTTCTCCCTTGCAATGAATACACCCCCTGCTGGAAATCCCAATGAGACATGCAAATCCCCCGCTCCCCGTCAAACTCTGCCCCCAGGTTCAGCTGGTACCATTCAGTCTAGACTGAAGGTGGATGATTTTCTTCACTGTGATGGCTGCAAATGGTGGTTTCCCAATTCTACCATTTCTTTTATTTTTCTCACTTGCTGCCCCTTGCTCACCTCTCCCCTCATGTATCTTTCTATTCATCCTAAGGATGGACTCCTGGATTCTTATCTCACTAGGTGGCTTGCAATGGCTAATAGCTAACTAACCCTTCTGATGTTCACACTGGGACTCTGGAGACCCCATTTAAGCTGTTACTGTGCCCTTTCCATATGTCTCCCTCAGTTTTGGATACTTCCTGATTTTATGGCACACATAAAAGATGCTCCAGGCTCATCTTTTTTTGTTTCCTTTTTTTTTTCCCCAGTAGTGGAGACTGAACTCAGTACTCCATACTGAGCTACATGCTTGGTAAGCCCCAGGTCTGTGGTAAAACAGTTCTCCACCGATCCCTAAAGTTTGGCTTTTTTGCATGCGGTCCTCTCTTCAACCCAAGGGCACACATTACCAAGTGGATGGCTGTCCTGCAAGTGGGTAGACCTCAGGGCTTTGTGGGGCTTTTTCATTATTTTTAACAATCTATTATTCTCAAAATGGCATATAGGAGCACAAAGTCTAGTACAACATATGTAAGCCCAAACAGAATTGTGCATACGAATATTCAATGAATCAGGATGCATTAAAAATGCCATAGTAATAAAGTGATAATTTACTGGGCCTTGCAAGGATAAACAGGAAATCCTCACCCAATCATAATGGTTTTATATCCCAGGGAGGTGAACTGAGAAATAACTTTCTCTGCTATGTCTGGCAAACTTGAGAAATAACTTTTTCTTCTATGTCTGGCTTTTCCTTGCATCTCTCCTCTGCAAAATTTTCACTCACTCACTTTAGCAGAATAAATGCTTTGTGACTCTTCTCTTTCCAATCTGTAGCATAATTATATGTAGACAGTTATCTGCCAATATATGGTATTTTGACACAGTACAACTTTGATTTTCTGACTAAATTTGTGATATCGTTCAGTATTTTACCTCATATTCATTTACTAATACAAATTTTCCACACCCAGGGCATCATTTGTAAGTTGCTTTTAGATATTAGATATGACAGGATTATAGTAACTAATCCCCTCTTTTAGGATGGACTGCTTTAAAAACACTACACTATTTGAAGTTTCCAATTAACTGGGTCTCTAAGAGTTAAAGTCTCACTATATTTTCCTGAACAAAAATTCTAATGTGCAGCAGTTTTCGCGTGAAGTCCCGACAATCGAGGAAGGTCCAATCAGCTCCTCTGCTGCTGTACCCATTCAGCAATGGTGACATACAAGACACCAGCCCCTGAGAATGACCCTGCACTATTTTCATCACACAAGAATATGCAGCCAGTGGCTGTCCATAGGGTGTAATGATGAACCATTTTAATGAGCAAATGGTGAAACATTCTTAAGTTAAAAAATTCAACACCTCTAAAGAATATGTAACTAATTTGCTTATACTGTACTAAGTATAACTCAAAAATTAATGTCACTGGAATACTACGCTTTTTATTAAAAACAAAACAAAACAACTTCACATCACGTCAAGAGTTATTTCACAGTAAGTAATCCTGAGCTGGATTCTACGGTGGAGTGGAAACCCCGCCACAAAGGATTGAGACAACTGACAAAGTGAGGGTGTAGACAATGGAGTGCTTAGCACCAAGAGATCAATGTTCGAGTGCCCGAAGTTGGTAAGGGAAGTATGGCTCCATGGAATATCCTTTAGAAATACGAAGTGAATTCCTTAGAAGCAAAAGTATGGCATGATATATGCAACTTACCCCCACACGATTTAGGGAAAAATGTACCTACATAAGTCTTAGTCAATTTTTTGTCACTAAGACTCAGTACCTGCCGGGGATGTAGCTCTGTGGTTCTGCAACCTACCTTGTAAGCGCAAGGTCCTGAGTTCAATTCCCGGTACCCCAAAAAAAAAAGACACAATACCTGACACCCACAACTTAAAGGAGAATTTCTGGCTCACATTTTTAGATAGTTGGCTGGCTCCGAGGCAGGGTGTAAGGGTCAGGAACAGGAAAGGTGTCCACCTCAAAAGAGTCAGGAAGCAAAGCATAAAGGAAGGAGGGGAGGAAAAAGACAAGGAAGGAGACAGACCTTCCAGGCCTCATCCCCAGGGACCCGACTCTTCTGACCAGACCCTGCCTCTTCACAGCACATCTAGCTATAAACTCACCAGGGGAGCAATCCCCCAGTAGGTACAGCGCCCCCATGACTCACCGCCTCCCAAAAGGCCACCTGCGAGCACGTGAGGCTTTGGGAGAAATCTAGATACAAACCATAGCACACATACTTACCAACAATGATAAAACAAATTTGGCAAGATGTTAACAATCACTGCATCTGGATAAAGGATAATGGCTCTCTGAGCTGTTCTTTTAACTTTCCAGTAAGAGTAAGTTTATCTCCACATAACTATATAGGAGCACAGGCATCTTGTTTGATAATGAAGGTGAGGATGTCTGTTGAGCACTTGTCACATGTCGACGAAGTGTCAGCGTATCCCATGTCACACCTCGCTTGATCCTACATCTCAGAGGACTGAACTCTTACTCTCCCCGTCTGACATGTGAGGGTGAACAATCAGAGCACGCCACTGGGATGTGACAGAGCCGGGATTCAAACACAGGACGACCTGACTTTCTCCCCAATCCATGAAAAACGGCTATTTAATTCAACAGAACAAAATTTCTAACAACGAGGATGTGAGAAATGCTAATCTGTTACCTGAGGGTAGGAATCCTCGAATGCGCGATCTGGAGTCATGTGCTTGATGACATCGGCCAAAACAGTATTCACCTCTCGTTTCTAAGTGGGGAAAATAAATCTGTGTCAGACAATGAACAGAAATCACTATTTTCCCGGGGGAAAGGGCTAACATATTCAAAATTTATCACATACATAGTGGCAAGTATTCTGCTGTAAATAATACAAAGGGAAACATCCCACCGTCACCTGGTCTTGCACCACAGCCCTAGAGATGGCCATGCCTGCTCCAAGTCAGACTGAACTCTGTTCTCAAAGGGCCTAGGGCTTTTCATTGTCCCTGCTTCCCCTGGGTGGTGGAACATCAGCCTCGCTATCTCCTGCCTGCTTCTGTGGATAGCAGTGAGGGATTGTGGGACCAGCACAGACTCATTTTCCATACAAAGAGTGGGATGAATTAACTCTTCATCTATTATCTAGGGTCAGCTATCCACAGCCCAAACACAGACTGTCATTACATGGTCAGCAAGCTGAGAAGGATTTTTACATTCAGACCAGAAAGAGGGCATTATTTCATGACAGTGAAAATTGAGAGGCAAGTTTCATGTGAACAAATAAAGTTTAATAAAATCTGCACATGCTTACACATGTATTACATGCTATAACAAAATACCATGATCTGGGTAGCCTGTAAATAATAGAAATTGATTTCTCACAATTCTGGAGTCTTGGATGTCCCAGACCAAGTCCTTGGCAGACTCTGCATGTGGTGGGCGCCCCTCATAGCAAGCATCATCTTACTATGTCCTCACATGGTGGGAGGGAACAATGAGTTCCTCCAGGCGTTTATTACCTGGGCGCTAATCCTACTCATGAGGGTGCCACCCTCATGACCTAACCATCTCTCAAAGGCTCCACCTCTTATTTTTTCAACTATGCAGGCATCCCGGGATGGTTAACAGCAGAGAGTTGGCACGAACCAGGCCAAGTGCGCCAGGCAGCTCTTGGCTGCTGTTCTGCCAGCACCATGACACCTGGCTAGGTCCAGGGCAACCAAGAGAAGATGCCTGCAGCTTCACCTCTTAATACCATTAGGTTTCAACAGGTGAATCTGGGGGAAAGGGTAGACAGAAACATTCAGACCACACGATACTGCACAGTAAATCAATTTTTTAAAGTTGACTAAACAAATACTCTCATGATAGGATCTGAACCCATTTCTACCTGCTGCTAACATATCTGCTCTTTGAGAAGCCCAATATTCCTCAAAAGATGGACCTTGTTTATGCCTAGGGAAAGAAGTATCTTTTCTTAGGAAAAAGAAATCACATGCAAGTTAAAGACATTTGGAAAAGTTGCTTACAGGGCTCCCATGAAAATCTGCCAGTCATTTCAGCAGATAAGCAAGCATCTAAGAGGTTCTACAATGAAAATGCTGCTTAACGTTGTAGAATGCAGCACTACGCAAATTTGCATGTAAGCCCAGAAGACTCCTGTTATAGTACACAATTAACATTCCATCTCATTTTATTTTTTATCTCATTTTAATGAATGCAATTTGTACAAATTACAAGAACAATTACCACTGAAAGTGCCTGCGTTCCTAGATTCATCTGCTATCCTAAACATGAAAAAATAAAACATACCGTGAAATGCCTGCAGGTGTATTCAACCCACACTTCAGCACAATTAATGTAGTCCTACAAAGAAAAAGAAAAATTGCTTATGGCAAAATTTACCACACATAAATCCCTTCAGGGGCTCTGACCAAAAAAAATAAACAAAATAAATAACAGAGACTTTTTCTGGCCTGCTGATACATTTTACTGTGACAAGCAAATTACAGAAAAACAAGTTGACTGCAATTAATTAGACTTCCATTCCAGACTTGCTCCTTGGGCCAAGATCGGGGAGCTGTGCTACTCAGAGCACTGGAAGAATCAAAGGGCAGCATTTTCTAGAGGATGGGGCCTTGCCACACCTCAACACTGGCTGAAGACACAAGCTCCACTCAAAATGTAAGTTTTGCATGTTTGGCAAAAAAAAAAAAAAAAC